TCGAGAGCCTCCCCCCCCCCCCCCCCCCCCCCCCGGCACACTGTCCTCTCTCCCCCCCACGGCACCCTGTCCTCACTCTAGAACCCTGTCCCCTGCCCCCACTGCCACCCTGTCCCCTGCCCCAACACCCACTAGCACCCTTCCCCAGTACCATGTCCCCTTCCCTACCCGCATAGTTGGGGCTACATTAGTGAGGCTTGGGCGGTTTTTGGAGGAGGGGTTTTAATCTCTCTTGTGTGGCCCCAACTGACTTTCCTGTGCGTCAGTGACCCCGACTCAAAACAGGTTCCCTGCCCTTCTCATAAATAAAGACAACGCAGAAACTTTTCGTGTCTGACACAGTCTATTTAAAAATGAAGCCTGGCCAACAAACCCCCAACTGGCCAAGCCCCCATCTGGCCGCAGCATTATAACACTCCTGCACCCCCCAGACCCTAGATCTGAGCCTATCATAAGTGGACCCCCCCCTTCCCTGAGCCCCTCACATACCCCAACCCAAATTCCTGCACCGTCACATCCACAAGCCTGTGGCTTGCTTAGTACCTCAACCCTCCATCTGACCCTAACACTCCCCAGCCTAGAGCCCCCTCCCTGAGCCAGTGTCCCCTTTTCCACCTCCTCCTGCAACCAAATTTCCTCTGAGAGCTTGCACCTCTCACCCCTTTTCACACCTAAATCCCTTATTCCTATCCCAGAGCCCACACAGCCTGTCTCAACCCAGTGAGGGTACGGCTAGACTGCAGGAGTTTTTCTAGGATTCCGGAGATACCCCAGAAAAACTCTTCCGCATCCAGGGATGCATTTGTTCTTCTGTTTTTTTAGTGAAAGAACAAACATGCTCTTTCAGTAACCCCTATATTCCTCATTCCACGAGGAATAAGGGGGTTTCCAAAAGAAGGGGTTTTTCTGACAATTGGTCCAGTCTAGACAGGCCAAATGTTGGAAAAACCTCTTCCTACACAAGAATTTGGGGCGGGGGGAGTGGCAGTGTAGAGTGTTATAAGGGCTGGGGATAGCAAGTGATGGAGAGGAGGAGAATCGAGAAGGCAGGGATTCAAGGAAGGTGTGGGGTCTTGGGGGAAGTATGAGGCTTGTTCTGAGCCTTGGTGGAAGTATCTTCACTTGTTCTGAGATTTAAAAAGTGATCTTCAGTGTAAAAAGGTTGGTGTCCACTGCCCTACCTGTTTGTCTTGCTGCTATACTTTTGAGTAAATTTTAACAAGAAGATGATACATTGAGTAGGTCTACATTTAAGTCATTCTAAAAATAGTTAAATGTTTTTTTAATTCTTTTGCATGTTGTGATTAAATGGATTATTGCAAATAAAAAAATGCTTGACACTTGAAAATCTGACTCTCTGTATTTGGGGCCTTAACTTTTTTTGTTAACTAGGTACTGGCTTCAGTGGAGATTACCATGAATATTTTGGTCTACATGTGGATGAAGATGCTCTCGTTTATCTAATAATGGCCAACCATATGGTTCATTTATTGCATCCAGAATGCATAACAGTAGCTGAGGTAATATTAAGTTTAGCCATATCTGAATAAAAGTTTATTATATAGTAAATAAGAGTACTGGTGAAATGTCATTGTGTCTATATTGCAACTTCTTTAGAATTAGTATGTGATGCATCATTTAACATTAATCCGTTTCTGTTGTAGTGTGCATTGTTTTCTAATTATTAGTGACAATTTTGACAAAAGTACCAGAAGATACGTACTAAAGGTGAATGGGTTCCTTCTCCATGCAATCATCTTTGTGTGCATGTGCAGGGGGAGAATTGAGTATTAATGTGTTATTTTTCATTACATTGGAGGCACATTCCAAATGATGTAGGTTAGCTTATATGAAGGTTCTTAATTCAGATACCATTGTGTTGCTTGCTTGTTGTTGCTTTGATTGCCAACTGTTGACTACTTATTCGTGGTATCAAATGTTCACAATTAGCAATCAGAAAGAAGCTATGCGCTGATATAATTCAATATATGCATAATTGACAATTCCCCTCTGTGATAAATGTGATAAATTTAGAAGATTCTGATGTTTATGCTAATTTAGATTTAACATTAAAATGTTCAGGGTTTCTGCATAAGTAGTATTCATTAAAATTGGTGGAAGGCGTTGAAAACTGGTTTTGGCTTCAAAGGAGTATTGTTGGCATGCGGAATTGCTAATGGTAATATCAAACTCTAAAGCTGTAAATTTCTGTTAATTGATTGTTGGGTTTTTCACTGATGTGTTTTTATGTTAAGAAAAATAAACTTTAAATTCTTTTTTAGAATGTCTTTATTAGTATGCTGTGTTGTAATGCATCTGGGGTTCTTGTTTACTGCTTCCAGCCACCCAGAAAAGATGTATGCAGGATGCATCTGGTGTATCATGAAGCATGTGAAGGCCTATTCTTTTAAATCCACACTATTTTATTAAGAATTCCAATATAGCTTTCCAAAAACAAAATAAGGTTAATTTCAGTTGAATGTGGCATCCTAATATGTAACTGACAGCTATCTACCAAGGTGCTTTTAAGAGCTTAATGACATGAGGTATCAAAAATAGCAATTGATGAAAAGAAGCAATTATTTGACACATAAAACTTAAGGTGGCTATATTGATCTTTCAGTTCACTTCAAATAAAATTGGTTCATCATCTAGGGAGTGATAGTCAGATTATCAACATTCCTGCCAATAAAACTTTGAGTTCAGCCTGTTTGCATTATTTGGTCGGAGATTTTTTTTAAACAAGATAGGTCTTCAATTTATTCTCTTTAAATTGAAAACTACTTCAGTTCAATACATTTTTTTCTGTCTAGGGGGAGTCTATAGACAAAATGTGCAATTGAGCCACATGCTAATGATGGAAAGAGATTGGGGTATAGGAACTATTGATATGATTTTTAAATTAAAATGGCAAGCATGAATTTGTGCTTGCATATAATGACAATTGAATAAGTTCCTCATGAGAGACAAGAGGCTTTGCCTGAAAATGACATTGTCATATACTCCTTGAAGAGTTGTCTGACTTTAAGCAGATGATTTTTGTAATTTTCTGTATTCCTCATTTAGCTTTGCCTTAGTAATTTCTAAGCCCAAGGTACCTTTGAAAATCTTGATTCCTTTTTTGACCAAACCCTTCAATTCCCTTTGACCAAAAAAAAAAGAGCCTAAAAAGATGTCTTACTTCTGGATGGCTGGTTATCCAGCAGCAATGTTCCCACTAAGATTTTTCAACCATGAGCAGAGTGAGTTTTGGCTTGTGCACCAATATTGAGGTCATGTGTGCTGGTTTAGATGCTACAGGAGCAGACCCCACTCCCTCCCTCCCCGTGTAGCATGTCCCATTCCCAGCTGTTGAAGTGGACCCAGTCCTCCTCTCCCTCCTTCCCTCCCCACCCCCAAAGCCATGCAGCATGTCCTGTTCCTGGCCACCAGAACAGACACACACACCCTGCCATGCAGAAGGTCCTGTTCCCGGCCCCAGCCACCAGAACAGGCCCCAGCCCTCCCTCCACAGGGCAGCACCAGCCACCAGAGCAGGCTTCCATCCACGGCATGGTCGCAGCAGATCCCAGTCCCTACCCTAGTGGCTCCCTCACCAGAGCAATGCCTGCTGCGGGAGTGCTGCTGCATGGCTCCTCAGAGGAGGTGGGCCGAGGAAGAATTTTTTGTGCATGGCCATGCAGGCACATACCTTAGCAGGAACCCAGTCCGGTAGCTCTGCTTTTTTGATGCTAAAAGAAGTTGTGGTGCTCTAAACAGTTGTAATGTGGTAGCCTGTTTGTGTACCAGTGTCCTGTTTCACACAGGGCAGGATGGCACAAACACTGGCACCGGACAGGAATACGGTGTACAAGTAGCTAGTGGTTGGAGGATTAAGGTTTCTTTCACCTTTTAATTTACCGTGAGAATTAAATGTTTTGGGCAATAATGAAAACAAATGCTAATAACCAAAATTAAACCATATACCTCAGATAAAAATGGATTTTTTGGAAGACTACAAATAAATCAATTAGTAGTTTCAGGCATCAGAAACCATCAGGCTTCTCAGTGAAATTTTAGGATTGATATCTAATATATAACTCCACTCCAACTAACAAGTGAGTTTTTACACTTCAAACTTGCCTGTAAAGTGGTGTGAATAAGCTGCTAATTTTTAAAATGTGACTGAAGTTAGCATTCATCACTAATGTTAGCACTAAAGTTAGCATTCATCACTAATGTTTCTGTTTATGCCACTGGTGTAGTTATCAAATGTTTGTTTTAAAATTTTATTATTAATAATTGTAGAAATTAGCTTGAGAGAACACTATCAAAGCTCCAGGCCTGCTAGAAACATTGTCCTTCATCTAATAGACTTCAGAATGTCATGAAGTCAGGAATTTATGAGACCTCCTGCACAGCATGCCACAGCAGTGAAAGGCATATGCCTGAACAATTTAGGAGAGCTGTTGGGCTCTTCTCCTGAACATTGTCTTTAACTATTTGGGAAGAGAGAATCACTTCCATGGACCTCATTGGTTCTGTTTACTTTATTGAAAGTATCCACATGGGGAGAGCAGAAGTGTAGGAAACCTTGTGAGTAGGCTAGAAATTTTGCTAACCTATTTAATGTTTTCTGGGTTCCTTATGTTAGTGTTTAAACAGAAATATTCACACACAGACTTTCTCTCAGGTCTTCTATAGGAAATATTATAGGAAATACAGAAGAGTCATTTTAAAACAAAGTGAGGATCTCCTCTGCGTAGTCCTCTATCAATTTATCCCATTTAACCTTATACCATGCGCCTGGATCTTCTGAACTGGGGCAAATTTCTTCTAGAACACAATATATGCAGCAAAGGACATTTACAATAATTTTTTGTAAATAAAATGTGGTTTTTTTGATTACTTTTTTGAAGTGGCAAAATGTGTGCTTATACTGCAAAAGTTGTACTGGAAATGCTCCTAGATCTTGTTTGAAAATCTTTTATTCACATAATAGGCAAACTACAAATATTTGTGGATAGCTTGTAATTGAAGGGTTGGATATGTCTTCTAGAGTTTAAACCTCTCAAATCTTGGGAGACTCTGGTCTGGTAATATCCGTCATTCAGCAGGGCCACAGATGTTGCTGGACCTAATTGTCCTGGAGCAATGCAGGGGCTGGGGAGCCCTGGTTGGGGAAGGCATCATCTAGGGAGGGCCCAGCCTGGCCAGGAGCCCCCCAGCATCAATGGGGCCAAGTGATGGCTGGGGGGCCCCCAGCATCAGTGAGGCCAGGCAGCGGCCAGGGAGCTGTGCCCCTGGCTATTGACCCTCTGGTGTTAGTGGGGCCAGGTGACTGAGGAGTCCTGGTCCCACCCGGGGAACTCTTGGATGCAGCCAAGATGCCAGTGGCTGGGTGGCCTGCCAGGAACCCCAGGAAACCCCATTGGCAGTGGGGTCAGAGTGACCGGGCAACCTCCGCTGGCAAACCCCAGGCTGAAGTAGGACTCTGAGGCAGATGGCCCTTGCCAGGGAAAATCCACAAAATTTCCAACAGCAGCACAGCCCTATTAGTGGGGTGGGGTGGCTGAGGCAGCCCCTGTATGGGGAATCCCCATCAGCAGCAGGGTCAGCGGCAGGTGGGTGGCCTCAGTTGGGAACCCTGGGGAACACCCTGCGACAGTGGGACTGGCAGTGGCTAAGCTGTCCCTGTTGGGAACCCAGAGAGACCCTGGGGCAGCGAATGGACAGCAAGTTGTGGAGCCATTCTGGGCAACGTTAGTGGGGCCAGCAACAGGGTAGGGAGCCCCAGGGAGAGGAGCCTGGGATCAGGGCAGCCAGCAGGGGAACACGGGCCTCCCCTGGTCTGGCAAACTCCCTAGTCCAGGACAGCTCAGGTCCTGAGGGTGCCTGACCAGGGAGGTCCAACCTGTACTATATAAAGTGGTAGGGAGAGTCATCTATTCAGGAACATGTGATGTAAGTGTCTAGTCATGTAGTACATTCAATAAATGATGCACTCACAAGAGTCAATTATATTTTAAGGGAGAGAGAACAAAATTGTTTGGAATTTCAATCCATGTTTCTGATTCTGCATTCCTTGGTCACTTTTTTTGACCCTGTTGGAGTCAAGGCAAGGACTGCGGGATTGAGTTTTATGCGCCTATCTCACTTGGTAGAGCTGGTTGACTGGATAATTTAGTTTACATACATCCAGTTGGTGTTTAAAAAAAAAAAAGTTCAAAGCTAAACAGTGACGGCTCTCATCACACCGATAATACATAGCCATGGTAATGCAAGTGCTGAAAGGGCTGGCTGCCGTGAGTGTATTCCTATAGTCTCTGAAGAACAGGATTCTGAGGTGGCTAACTTCTTTTGCTCCCATGGATACGCTCTCTTTTTAGCATGCTAGCTCATGCAGAATTAGCACAGGGTAAGTCTCCTTAAGATGGAACGCAACCCTCATCTTAGAAACTGCCATTGTTACATTGAAGTATAATTGTACACTCTGCACTGTAGCTTTTGAAAGCAGTAATGTGTGGGGTTTGATATCTGATTACTTTTTAAATATAGGAAAGCTTTCTTAGGTTTGGAAATGTAACAAGTAACGTGAAGTTCTATCAAAATAATATTGCAATGTGTTTTTTATTCAAGGATGTTTCTGGAATGCCAGCTCTTTGTTGCCCTATTGCACAGGGAGGAGGTGGATTTGATTATCGACTGGCTATGGCAATTCCAGATAAATGGATACAGGTGAGAAAACAAAATTCACTTTTCTGTTTTCTATGATAGAGGTCTGTTTTATATAAAATAAACCTTCAAAGTAATTCAGGTAACTGTTCTGTTGCAGCCAAGAACTTGCAATTTTAGTAGTCCTTCACATGCCCCTATATAAATCTTTTTAGTCTTTAGCCATGACTCTATAGCTCAGACGAAGAGCCTTATCACCACTGTGGCTCAGGGCCTCCCCTTGGTGAGCAGGGGATCTTGGTATGAGATTGATACATGATCTTTGTATTCTGGTTGACTTTTTTTTTTTATACTTTGTGATGAGCCTAGACTGACTATAGGCAGTCCCCGGGTTACGTACAAGATAGGGACTGAAACTGACCAGCAGCGGCTGAATCAGGATGCCTGGGGCAGAGCAGCTGGGGTGCTGCCGGGTTGGCCCAGTAGCGCCCAGCAGACCAGGGAGATGCGGAGCAAAGCCGCGGAGGACCCGGGCGGCGGGACCGCGGCACGTCTGGGCGGTCCTGCCACCTGGGTCTTAACATTAGACCGAAATACAGGCAGTCCCCGAGTTACGTGGTTCTGACTTATGTCGGATCCCTACTTATGAACGGGGCTTTTCTCGCCGCAGAGGATGCGGGCAGCGGGACCGCCCAGACGCGCCGCGGTCCCGCTGCCCGCGTCCTCCGGGGCGAGAAATGCCCCGTTTGTAAGTACGGATCCGACATAAGTTGGATCCGCATAACCCGGGGACTGCCTGAACTTTGTTGGATTTTAGTTCTGTCCAAATAGCTCTTTTTTATCTCTGAACACTGAAATAAACATTTGCATTTAATAATCCTATATTTATGTACAAGACACAATGAAAGCTCTCTAAGTTAAATGTAACATTTTTATCTAACGCAACTTAAAAACCAAAGGAAAAACAACAACAAAAATACATGCACTAGAACATGCTGTGCCACACAGCACCAACCAGTAGGATGTATAAGAAAAGAGGAATAAAAAACCTGTAAATGTGCTTAAAAAGTAATGATGCATTAAACTCCAATAGCTCATGTAAGAAAGGGATTTAAATCGCCTTCTCCTTAATAAAAGAATGGCAAGAAAGGGAATAAAACAATAAACAATCTCAAAAGGCTGTCAGACCCTTCAGAGAATGAGTCTTTCAATTAGACATAAGATTTGAAGCAAATCCCCAATGACACCATGATCATCTGAAAAGCAATAAAGGCAATAAATATTTCATATGAGTATTAATGGCCTCAATAAAAGCATGGGAAGCTTAAAGAAAAATAAAATATGTGACTCACAAAAGTGTGTGTTCTTAAATCAGAGATGTAAACCCCATTAGTTGTGTGGGATATTTTTCCCTATTTAAACTCATGTCACCAACAGGCCCCAGCTGAAATTAATTAAGTTCTATAAGACTTGCTACTCCAAGGACAACTAACAGCCAGTGCTAATAAAGGCTGGTTAGAGTTTTCTTTCCATCGGTTTCTTTGAGCCAGTTTGGAGTAGGAAGTGATGGATGGGCCTTAGAGCAGAAAGATGCAAACCAGCCTCTTAGAGCGGTTTGACTTTTCAATAAGATACATTTTGGTGCCTTGATTTGCTGCCTGAAAACACTAATATATGAATTGAGCGAAAGCTTCTGACAATTGAACCAAGTGAACACACATGATTGTGTGTTTAAAAAAGATTTTTCAGTTTTCTGCTTGTTTCCATTCCTAACTCCACTGGAAGGCTAACAAAAGTTTTCTTAAAAATCAGAAATACTCATTCTAAAAAAATAGGCTAATGGGAAGAATACTCAAGTATTAAGTCATTCTATTAAGCCAAACATAGTATATTGCGTATTTTCTTACAATTGACTTTGATGTAAGAGTATCTACATTCTCATTGTTGAGTGCTTAAAAGTGTTTAGTATTTTCATTCTGGATAAAATGGATTGGAATGGTTGGTCTATTCACATATGTGTTAATTTTTGCTTCCATGCCTGTATGCCAAGTGGCTGCTGAAATGTTTGGGGGTTTTTTGCTTTTGATTTTTTTAATTACATAGTGTAATGTTAAACTCCCTGGTTCTATTACTGACACTTTTTATATAATACTTTAATTGATATTCTATTTAAGGTTGAACTATAACAAAAACAGTTGGTGAAGGCTTATGAAGTATTGCATAACAAAGGAAAGATAGGGCTTCAACACTGAAATTGCTCTGTGAAGTCGACCATTAAAATGATGCCAAGTGTATCCCTTAACGTTTTATAAAGCAGAAAAGAGAATAGTTTAAATAATGTTGACATGCCATGGTTATTAATCAAAAGTTGGCAGCTGACATAGCAGAAAACATGAAGTATGGGTTTAGAAATTCTAACGAGCATTATAGTGAGTTCAGAAGGAATTCCCATTTGGGAGATCAAATAGGGGAAGTTCATCACTTGAAAGGCTTTTTGAAATGAGGAGACACTAAGAATAATGCTATTTTTATAATTTAGGGAAACTTCAAATCCCTAAATGCCATGGAAAAATGTATAATGCAATTTAGTTGAAACAAAAGTAATGTTTGAATTACCTTTTAACAGATAATTAAAGAGTTGAAAGATGAAGACTGGAATATGGGCAATATAGTGCATACGCTGACAAATAGGCGGTATGAGGAGAAATACATTGCATATGCAGAGAGCCATGATCAGGTACTATAATAAATATTTTGGTAAAGACTATAAATGGAGGAACAAATTAGTGCACTTTCCATAGATCAGTGCTAAATACTGACTACTGTAGTCAAGATTTCCTGTTCCCAATCTGGGACTGTCTTATAAAGGGGTCTGACTTTCACAGAGTGAACACTCAGCACTCTGAAAATCCTGGGCTCATTAAGACAAGTCATCTGGAACTAAAAAGTTGACAATCTTGGCTTATATCTTTTAATACGGTTTACCATCTGGAGACTTTCTAGTATTACATTGTCTTATACTGGTAACTGTTCCACTTTAAGAGCTAATTCGGTATCTGATTAATGATTCTTTAATCATTTTATTTGGGGTTGGGTGTGGAGGAGGAAGAGGCAACATTAAAGCTGGAAACTTCAGAGCACTGAAGTAATGGAAATACCTGTACATCCGTTTACTTGAATGTGTATGTATATATATATATATAGTCTCCTATATTATTTATACTGGTTAAATGTCTGTTTTAGATATGCTGACTACAATGTAAGTTAAGATGGCTTTGGGAGTACGTAAGAATGGCCGTACTGGGCCAGACCAAAGGTTCACCTAGCCTAGTAGCCTGTCTGCCGACAGCGGCCAACACCAGGTGCCCCAGAGGGGGTGGACCGAAGACCATGATCAAGCAATTTGTCTCATGCCATCCATCTCCAGCCTCTGACAGAGGCCAGGGACACCATTTCTAGCCCTTGGTTAATAGCCTTTTATGGACCTAAACTCCATAAATAGAAGAACTAGACTACAACAGAGTTTAAACTCTAGCTTCTCTTTAAACTCTATTATAGTCCTAGCCTTCACAGCCTCCTCTGGCAAGGAGTTCCACAGGTTGACTACACGCTATGTGAAAAAGAACTTTCTTTTATTAGTTTTAAACTTGCTACCCATTAATTTCATTTGGTGTCCTCTAGTTCTTCTATTATGGGAACTAATAAATAACTTTTCTTTATCGGCCCTCTCCACACCACTCATGATTTTATATACAGGCAGTCCCTGGGTTACGTCAGTCCGACTTAAGTCGGACCCCTAGTTACGAACGGGGGGGGTCCCCGCTAGTGGGGGGTGCCTCCTCCACTGTCGCCGCCTCCGGCGGTGCAGGGGACGCTTTCCCCCAACAGACCCGGGAGACGCAGAGCAGCCTTTTTTCCCGGGGGGGCGCG